AGGAGGAGAGGGGAAGCAGAACTGGGAGAAATACAAAAGGTATCATTTTAATTGAGATCATAAATGTCGTCGGGATAATCATATTGAATTTGTGCCCAAGCAAGGAAAAGCGTGTTAGCAAGAGTACAGAAAGGACTACGTCGTGATTAATCTGGGGGGTTTTTCTTTAATTTTGGAGAGAAGTCCTTCGTATGGGTTTATGGAATCTTTAGAAAGCGTAGCGCATGACCAAGTCATTTAATTTACAAGGTTGAAAAAGCAGGGAAAAGGCAGAAATGAGAAGCCTAGAAAGTACAACATGACGTATACAGCTGAACAATACTTAACAGAGAGTAAAATAATTTGTATCCAAAGGCAATGAAAAAGCTGCATATCCTCTGCTAGTGCGCTGTGGTCTGTCCGTATTAATTGTTGCCCTTAATTCATTCAGGGGAGGGTGGGCGGGGATTGATGGGGGGAAAATATGCAAAATTGTACACATTTAACGTCTCTTGTAATGCGGTAGGATTCTTTAAGAGGCAGGACCTAACAATTTAACTTCCGTTTTTGAATGGACTGAGTCAAATTATGGGGAAATTCGTGTAAAGTGCTTTTGCCAATGACAGAACGTTGGACCGAGCTGAGCCTCGAACCACACGAACCCGCAACCTCCCAATGACGGGTCCGGTAGCCTAACCACTAGACCACCAACAACAAGGAGGTGTTTTGGGCTCGAGCACAGAATATCTCTTAGAGAAGTACACTGAAGTCAGATCGGATTGTGATAATATGTATTACCAGCGGAGACATAGAAATCGCATTATAGTCGAGAAACCCGAAACAAGATGAAATTTCGTGACAGAAAAGCTTTTAATTTGATTATAGTTGGTTCTACGAATATCAACACTATTAAAACTGCTGGAATGCTACATCTTCCCCATATTTCTATATGGCGCTGAGACCTGCTCACATACTATTGCCGGTAAAGCTGCAGCCGCTATGCTGAATGTCATTTACTTCCTTACTTCCTTACTCTGTTCCCATACCGGCAGGTACATAAGGAAGACAGCAGTCGACGCCGCGTTTGTTTGTCCTGGCAACGTCTTCTAACCTTGGCACATCAAGGCCCTGGGTGATTGCTTCATCCCTGATTGTGCCTCTGTAACTTCCAGTTGATCTATTCTATTTCCTGTTGGTCTCCAATACCACCTCTGATAGGGCAATGTTAAATGGCATTTACCGTGAAATTTCATCGACTAGCGAGGACAGTAATATGAAGTCGTGAGTGCTCCAGCCCAGTCTTAGCCAAGTATCGCACTACGACAAAACAGTTGTGCGAAAGTTTTGTTGGTGAGTTGTGGATAATAAAAATATGAGAGAAGTTTACAGCACCAACACAACGCAATTAACTAGTCGCGCTTCTCTTTAGAAAACTGAAGATGCTATGACATGATGACCTAACCTTTCCAAACGCTTCCCAGGAAACTATTCCCCTAAAGTTCGTCTATATCCAAATTTGGAATTGCAGGGTTGTTCACTAAACTGATCTTTGAAGTGTCATTTTACAGTGTTCTTTATTATTGTCGCTGACTTTCGTCCCGTCTGGTTAAGCATCACCGCACTCTAAACGGTAACAGCAGGGTTCAGTTCATCAGATTATAATGTCTGACATGTCTGACTCCTAGCCGTTTTAGTGACGCATTTGTGAGCATTGCGGCGTCTGCCATTTCTGATTTCCGCTTTAGGGATTATGCTGTGAACTGCGTCACGGGGTTTTCCCTTTATTGGTTTGGGTGGGGTGCAGGGTGAGGGGGTGCGGGGTGAGGGAGAGTGGGGTGAGGGGGTCTGTGGTATGGGTTGCGTGAAAGGGGAGGGGAGGTGTTTTATTCAAACTTGTTGCACGTACGCGGAGTGTGTAATCATAATTTCTTGAACCAAGACAGGTGTAAAATCTACACATGGTTGTACACACGCGTCATTCAATTTTGAGGAATATTTCTTCATTCTTCCCTTCTTTTTTCGACCACAAAATAGAGTCCACCGCAACAATATCTGTTGTGACGGGCAGTGCCTACCACTGATACTTTCTTTTTTCCCCATTGTTTTAGTAGAGTTTTTACGGCGCTCGCAACTGCATAAGGTCATATGAGCGCCAGAAGATTAGAGGTGTTACAAGGGAGTAACAAAAATAAAAAAGAAGGAGGGGAGATAAAGACGATAGATGTTTGATAGGAAAGAAGGAGAAAACTGCACCAGAGCATCCGCCAACCACCCATTGATACTTGCTATTTGAGGTACTCACACCTTTAAGTTTAGATTCATATCCTATTAACCTTCTGTCAACTAGCTGGCTCTTCAGATGCCTTAAGAACATCCCCTCCCACCAAAAAAAAATAATGTAATGTTTCAATCGCGGTGCATTGGTGGCATATGCTTGAAGAATGTTTTGTTGAACTTCAAAATCTACATGTTGAAAAAAAGCAAGGAAAGTTAATATGTCTAATATACAATTGTTTAAAAAATCAAACTGTTTTTCCCCTCTCCTGAAATATTTTGCTTTCTGGCCTTAGAAAGGATATTTGAACATCTTGCCAACATTATGTATTCACCTTACTTGTAATAGAGAAACTGTTTCAGAAATCGTGTATTCTTTTGTTGTATTTCCTTCGTTCCAACACGTCAAAACAAAGAATGCATTGGATAGACATTATTCATCACCCTGTGACCCCTGTGTCTAGCAGTCAGCGCGCTTCATGGGAACTCTGAGCGGCGCCATCAACACTCCCGAGTACAGAATACCGCTATGATGATCCAGTTAACTTATTATGTATGTAGGCTTAGCCAGGAACGCTCTATGTTGAAAGGGCGTCAAGTTTTTGAGTCGTGAGTGGGCTATGCTTCACATTATAACAAAGACAGAGGGTCAAAGGTGATGTATTGCTCATTTAGAAGACTGCACCTTTGGGTAAATAAAATTATCAAAATAATCATTCTCTCTCACTCACTCCCGGTCTACCTATCTCACTCACTCTCACTCTCTCTCACTCTCTCTCTTTCTTTCTCACCCTCTCTATCAGTTCTCTCTCTCTCCTTCTCTGTCTCTCTCTCTCTTTCTTTCTCTCTCGCATTCTCTCTCTCTTTCTCTCTCACTCTTGATCTCTATTTCTCTCTCTCCGTCTCTCTCCCTCTCTCTCCCTCCCTCTCTATCTATCTATCTATCTATCTATCTATCTATCTATCTATCTATCTATCTATCTATCTATCTATCTATCTATCTATCTATCTATCTATCTC